ACAATGGAAATCTCCTTTACTTCCATTCAATCACTGGGTACAGTCGAGCCTCGGACTCCCAAGATCCAGCTTGTGGTACTACCCTCCCTTCAGTCCTCTTGGCTAAGGCAACCACCTCTTGAACAAACTACAAACCTTACAATGGACAATACAGGCATACATCACCAATATCTCCTGACAAACTTTTAAAAAGTTTTGTGGACGTTGTGTCATCGACGGTATGGTAGATAAAACTAAAGAAAAATGTTCTAACAAAGTAAACTCTTTCCACAATATATTTTGCAGGATTATAGATCAGAAAGAAAATCTAAGTGGCACATGCTCAATCCTGTTTTAGAAATGACAAGACTTATGCAGTAAGGCTAGTGTTAACAGGAATGGCATACAAGTTTGAAGCCTGTTGATAACCGACCTTCACTCGCCACAATGCATAATACCACAGCGACCCTACTACCACAACTAGATGGCAAATGTCTTAATATTTTACAGTGACCCATTAGTACATGAAATTGGGCCAAATTCTTGAATATTTCATGGCATACATTTTTCCATTTTGTTTATATAGCTTTATGATGTCCCAGAAAGTACAATGACACATGGTGAATTTTTTCTCTATATAATTGAAATGTGTAATAAAAAAGTAATCAAGTCCAGCGTGTTGTCCATAGCTACAGGAGTCAAGTTATTCATTTTAGGAGACTTGTATGCAAATAACCTTTGCAATTTTTAAAATACATCTTTGCAAATATCATCTACATATAAAAATTATAAAAAGCAATAACATTTAATGCCCAGATATTTAGTGCAGGTAGTATTAAATAAGATAATAAACACATGCAGTAAAAAGCACACAACCGAAGGCTGGTGCAAGCTGCATGGTCACAAAAATTAGTGACAGATTGTAGCCAACACCACAACTGGCATACCCAATTCATAAATCTGGCAGAAGCTGAAATATTTGAATTTCCACTGAATCTTTCTCAACCTTTTTTATTTTTTTCTTAAGATTTTTTCTTACAGAGCCAAAGATCATTCAAGTGCCAATTCTCAGCGTGTAGTACATAAGTCTGGTTCAAGGTCATCACAAGTCTAAAACTTGAGGGTCAAATTGATTATACTGCAGCTTAAAATCACACTCCAATCATTACTAATCAAGCTGCAGTATTACATGTAATATATCTAATTGCCTAGCTCTTTTTTAATCTCATAAAATTAGAATATTAGAATAACTTTTGTTTAGGTAATACATATTTATCTTTTGACCAAAACAAACTTAGATTAATAAATTCACATCTTGTAATAACACATTTAAAAGAATAAAGGCCAAACAAAAGCCCATAAAAATATTAGCTTTTGCACAGCTTATCAGTGTGCAGTCCGATTATCATACAATTCATGATATTTCAGAAAAAAAGGAGCATCTAATAACTAGCTCTCATTACTTATCACAAGAAAGTCTTATAACTATGAATACAACAATTCATTATCAGGAACTACAATTCATCCTTTAGGACAGGAATCTTGGAGAATTGAAAACCTTTCAAATCCCCAGGAATCCTCTATATTGATAGCTCCTAGATAACACACACAATAAACTCTTACATTTCAAGTCTTCGCAAGTTAGTCACAGCCAGTTGGTCCAATCTCCACCAAAGATAACTGCTTTGTCATCCAAACACACCAAATCTTTCCCTGTGACTGGCAGTGTGTGTCTTAACACTGGTCGCCCCTCCACAGATCCCAATGAGTAACAACATCTGCATTCCGGATATGTACAGATCCAAACAAATTAATTATCTGACCAATCATACTACAACAGTCACCTCAATCAGTCTACAATCATCGAATATGGATCTTTCTAATTAGTACATAAGAAAATCCATAGAAATCATGCTTAAATTCAAATACTGCAATATCTATATGGGTTAAATCTTAAATTACCGGGTTCCATTGAATTGGTTTGACAACATTCCAATAAGTTCACGAGCATTGATTCAATCTTGCACTGAGCATCTGCTTAATGCCAACTAAGAACTACAAATCAAGTAGCAAGGTTCAAGAGTTATTCAGTGGACACAGCATTTAGGGATACCAAAAGAAAATAGTGTGGTCACTGAAATGTGCATGCAGGACCGCCTTTTTTTGGGGGGAAAATAATGTTAATAATTCAAAAAAATTTAAAAAGAAAAAAAATGTATAAACAGTGTATTATGGGGCAAACTGGATGGAAGGACCTGATGCTGATGCTGCTATCGTAACTTTGACAAGTTGCTTATAGATGCTAATAAACAAGAAAATTCCATTGGCAATTTCCCCTGTACAATTACCTTGTATTATACTTAATGAAGAGGAAGGCAAAATCTTTATCGATGGACACACCTGAATAATAGGAAATGGTACTGATGTTGTATCATTGACATCAATTCTAATACAGGAATTTGGGCAGCTATTTTCCACTAACCATTTCCACTGAATTGATTAGTCTCCAGAACTAGGGGGGCAAACTGCTGGACATTAGAGGTTTGTATTGGGAACTATTCTTTTAGATTTTATTTGAAAGACAAGAAGATTGCATGTGAAACACAAAGTAAGCGGGAATAAAACAGCCTGCTCATTAAAACCACTGGAGAGAAATTTCTATGAACACAGTTTGGCTTTTTTCATCCTAGTGGTTGACAGTGATAAAATTTAGAGCAGCACTCTTGTGAGACTTCCTCCTACTAGATTTAGTTATGTTTTATTACCCAACTGACCTGGTGGGTTTGGGTATGGTGGAGATGTTTTTCAGGTACATGTCTCACTGGTGGGGTGGACTGCGGCCCCCTTACCCCGACCAAACTATAGCTCAGCCGGGAATCGGCAGCCGACCCTCTCCAGTCCCCACTGACGCAGCATTGGTGGGGCGGCCATCACCCATGGGCCCAATATCTGGTGCAAGCACCGATACTTCTCCCATACATACAAGTGGCAGGAATGTCCTTTGTGCCTGAAATCAGGCTTGTCTGGACAGACTGACATACTGTACTTGGTGGAGTTGTGCCCCGCCATGCCCCCGCCCCACCCTCTACACCTGGTGCTGGCGGCCCACCCGCTTACACCTCAGCTCCACGACTGTGGATAGCTGTCGTGGTACCATTGCTGGTCCCCGCCTGCCCCGCCGTACGTGCTGCCGTTGGCCCCACTGTATGAGCTCAGCGGCTGCTGTGGGATAGGCTGGTTCCCCCAGCTAGCACCGGTGTTCTGGAACCGTCTCTTAGAGTCCCCCTCGTTCTGGTGCCCGCCATCCAACTTTCTTTTACCTGTAATGGATCAAGCTTCATCTCACTTATCTGACTGATCTCTACAATGGAAGAATTATATGCATCACAGGCTTCCCCTGGCCTATTTCTTTATCACTTGATGGCACACTTATGAGACATGACCTTAGGTGTTGGTGGTGTAGGCACAAGATACAAGGGAGTGACGGCTCAAGACTCACCTGCTAGATTTGCCCCCCTGGCGGACCCTCTGAACCCCTGCCCCGCGCGCGGCGGCCGAGTCATACGCCCCCCCATGGCCCCCCCTCGGGGCACCATACCCGCCCCCCACGGGGGAGGGGCCAGCGCCGCGGCCACGGCTCGCCATACCATACCCACGGCCAGCCTGAAAGCACAAGGCAACCCACAATCAGTGGTCAACCTCCCACAACAGTGCAGTAGTGTTCAAGGTAAAGCTGGGGCCTCAATAACGAGGTAAGCATTATGACAGCAAGTATGCAGCAAGCTTCAATAGGCTCTATAATACTAAAGCAAAGTACGAGTCACCATCCCTGAGCCAGAGGTGTGGTGCATGACGGGTTCTAGGGGTCACTGGGGACAAGTTAGCACCTGGAATGGCACGGCACGGGGCGCGGTACCAAGTAGTGAATTGTTGCTGGGCTGCTCAGTCTGCAGTGCTATTACATATTTCATTACCATATGACATTTATCATGAGAATTGTTAATCTTCTTCCCGGCCATGTTTTAGCCACCATAGCCCAGAGCTGCTGCAATGCTGGCTCAGGCATGGGACCCAACAAAACGTGGCCTCACACTTCCAAAGCCCCCAAATGCTAGGAACACTCCTGCCAACCTAACTAGTCCTACATTCTCCTATTCCTTATCTTTATATATATATATATAAAAGCCATTTAGGGAAAGATTTGAACTTGTCAGGATTTCTTCAGAGACTACAGGTAGATTGCAGCCCACTGCCTGAAATCATGGTTGAGCAAAGTTCTGCTCCTCTGTTATAGCAAACATATAAAAAATTCTATGTAATATATTTAATGATTCGTTTGAATTTCCAACCTATTTAAGAACCTAATGATGACTTTATCTTATTTTCAAAGTATTAGGCCTTGGTCAAGTTCATGGATAAAAACATGCTCTCAATTTTTACATTATCATGAAAAGTAATTACTGATCATGCAGCCATTAGAGACAACTCTGGAGACCAGTTCCGAGCCACTGTAAACAAAGCCTCAACATCCAAGCACTGGTATGGAGTGTGAGGCCACGCCATGTGATGACACTTCAATACTACAGTAACTGAGAATGGACACTGGGACCCACCGGCACTGATTTGGTGCGACCACGCCCCATTGGTTGAGGGGAGTAATCGTAATAGTAATCTTCATAACGGTAATAGTCGTCGTAATACGGGTCACTGTAGCCACCTTGATAATCTCCATAACCATAATAGTCGTAATCATAATCTAGAAATAATACCAAACGTTGTTGTTGATAGCTAGTAATAATAAAATTTAATTTCTTACTAACATCAAATACTGTAATTACTAAAGAGGGCATGCCGGGAAGAACAAATCAATAGAAAATTTAAATAAATAAATAAATAAATAAATAAATAAATGAATACTTCATTTATTGGTGATTTCTCTCATCATTAATATATATATATATATACATATATATATCTTTAAAACAAGTGTGTGTTCTGTACACAAGATACTTTGAACTAAGGAAGGCAACGGGTAAGCCAGAGTGTCAAGAGACCATTGCACACAAACTGCATATTCAAAGGACCACTACCAGGTGCCTCTGAAAAGCAATTGGGGCCAGGAAGATGAAGGGAAGAAGAGCAATTCAATTCCATGACAACTAGTTTATTCTTATCATGTATTATGATACAGGGCAAGTCTTCCAATTTTAGTTAACATAACATTTCATACATAACTACTCTCAGCAGGTGTCCAATATATAACAAGAAAAATGACAAACAAAACAAGCCAATCCATGCATATACAGTTAAATATTGAGGAGCAATATTAAGCTCAATTTGCCTATACCATTAATACAGGGGCCTGTCCCTGTACCTTAATGTCTAGTCTATCACTTTGTCCAAAAAATAAAGTTCTTAAGTAGAGGTTGTCAACAGTGGCTATAAACAGGAGTAAACGACACTCCCCTAAAAGGAGTGAGATCAATTAGGCTTGTAATTCAAAATGGCAATATAAACAAGCACAGCATTATCACTGGGACTGTCATTATTTACAACTCTCAGCACCATTGTTTGAAAATTATCATTACAATACATGATGTTATGGTCCCATGTTGATGAGCAACTCAATAGTACCAACTGTAGTTATTCCAGTAATAGTTGTATCCTGTGTTCTTTTGTGGTCTTGGACCCCAGTAATAGTTGTAATAGTTCCACCACTTACCATAGTCACTGCGGCCGCCCCCTCGACCCCCTCCCCGCCCACCACGCAGCATGGCTGGGGGCACAGGCATCCTGTAAGAAATAAACAAAGCAGTCAATACAAAACAGCATGCAATAATAAAAGAAAAAAAAATAAATGAAATCAGAAAAATTTGTTCACAAAATCATTGACGTTTTTCTCTTTTTGTTTTTGTTTCTTTCTGCCCTGACTTAAGCACCTTCATTTAGATAAAAGAGCAAATAATAAAAATGAAATCAGGCATTCAGTAAACAGCAAACTAAATCAAATATTTACTCTAAATAAAATCACTAAGTACTGTTCATTCTATATAAAAGATATCAATAACTTAAACTCACAGGCTGTTAAAGTACAATATCCCAATAATAAAAGAAAAAAGCAAAATATAATTGCAATCTCAATAATAAATAATTATATTTTCTTCTTAAAACTATCCTTGATGTGCCTAGAAATGACTTATTTTCTTGAGAGACTGGTTCCAGTACAAAGTCATCTTTTACACACAAAGAAGCTTTAACAAGTTTTACATATAGGACAAAGGTATGTGATATAAAAAATATAAATGTCTTTGTAACCATCAACCATAAATAAAGACAATGCAGACACTGGCCTTTTAGATACAACATTCAAAGAAACACAATATTGTGGAGGGTTATACATACATAACTATATTCATTTCACACACTCCTCCCTTCTCACTCTCTCTCTCTCTCTCTCTCTCATAGCACTTCTGTATATGCCCACTTGATTGAATATCTATCTTTTAACCTAATTGCAGTAAAGAATTTCTTAGAGGAATTAATTAGTTTAATTTTCACTTTAAAAAATATTTGATTTAAGATTAACGTCTCAGCATAATTTTCTTCAAGAGCATGATCAAATTCCTTAAATTGCTGATTATGTTTAATTGCACTTTCCGTTATAATCACTCCATAAATTAAGACAGACAACTTTCCTTCAAAGTAATTAAAAAGGTCCAAATAAACATTATATATTATGATGCTAACGAGTTTCAAATAACTACAAGAAAATATATATATAACAAACTGTGTGTATATATATAAACATGGAATATATATATATATATATATATATATATATATATATATATATATATATATATATATATATATATATATGCATATATATGCATATACATATATATACTATATATCTATTACTATACATATATACATATATATATACATATATTACATATAATATATATACATTAATATATATACATATATACATATACATATACACAATATACATATACATATATACAATACATATATATATACAGTATATACATATACATAATATATATAATATATACATATACAATACATAAATATATATATAATATATATATATATATATATATATAGATATAGATATATGTATATATGGTGTATATATGTATATGTAATATGTATATATGTATATGTATATGTATATATGTATATATATTTATGTAATGTATATATGTATATATATTATATTTATTTGTATATATGTATATGTATATATGTGTATATATGTATATGTATATATGTATATATATTGTATGTATATATTATATGTATATATATGTATATATTATATGTATATATGTATATGTAAATATTATATATGTATATTATGTATTGATATTATATATGCATATAT